TCAGTCCTGGGAGAGGGCTAGAAAACCTCGTCGGCTCGGGGGTGTATTGTCATCGGTTAACTCCCGAGCCTCAGACTAACCAACCCGACGTGGCAGAGGTGCATCCCTATTCGGACAAAACGGTTAGAACGGAGTGCCATTACTGGGGGGACGGATTAGGGTATGCTCCTTGCAGCCGCAGTTCTCGGAGCGGTCGGGCATAGCTCAGCGGATGAATCCCATGTGGTAGTACGAAAAGAATAAAGGTAACACTGGTTTCAAGCAACACCTCTCCACGTGTATGTGAAGGCTTTCTCTGTTCGATTCTTTTTTGTTTTTCACATATTAGTTCTGTTCTTGTAGTACTGATTTTTCCTCCCTATAACCCTGGTTGCTGTGAGATTCGATACCAAGTTTGCAGGCCAGAGGGTATGTCCGGGTAGAGTAGTGGGTATTGCCAGTCTTTGCCATTTCACCATCTTGACTGTTATAGACAGTCACCATCTTGCAAGTTCCTGTCAGTCACTTTCAAGCCAGATAAGGCCTCATAACGCCGCTCCGCCGGTCGTGAGTTTATCCTCAGTGTCTTGAAAATAGTAGTTATTTGTTTTCTGTCACCGGGGCTTACTACGTGTTTGCCTTGGGATACAAAGGTCACTGACGTCGCTGAGGGACAAGCCTAGGGGCTCAGTGGAGCGTCGGATTGTCAATCAGTAACCTTAACAGCCGATCTGTATCACGACAGCAATTCCATCCCAAATCACCTACAACACCAGCTGCGGCAGGGCTGCGGCAGGGCGCCGGTTTCACTCAGACGAAAGACTAATTTCGTTGGACGAAGTCGGTCATGCAGATGCAGATGGAGGATACAGATATGGAACTCCATATCCCGTTACAGTCGGGATCGGTTCAAACGGACGTCGGAGGGGCAGGTCAGGCCCTATCTGATGGCACACCGCAGACAGAAGGCTTATCCTGGGGAGGGTTTGCCCCCTTCTGGGCAGGCAGACCACGGGGAACCGGAAGGCTGGAGTCCGGAGCAGAAGGGCCCACGGGCCAGGATCGCATGAGACCCCCACAAGATCGTGGAGCAGGGTTGAGAGGGACAGCGGGGACAGCGGGGAGGGGTGCCCAAAAAGGGAAAGGTCGGGTTCCGGCCAATAGCGAGTTCAGTGCGCGTCAACCCCCCAGTCGACAGTTTTTAAACCCAAAGGAAGATTGGTTTCCGGTAGATGGCTATGACTCAGATAGCGATGAGGAAGGTAAGGGAGGGGGTAGATCTGGTGGAGAGGCGTCAACGGAAAATCCTGGGAACGGGAATGCCACTGAGTCTGTCGATAATGAGGTTGAGCAGGTTAGGAAGATGCTCGATAAGTGTTTCGACCGCATGATTATTCCGGACATGTCCAAGTTTGCCAAGTTCGAGCGCAAGGGCAATACAGTCAGTATGACTGTATCCCCTGCAGTCAGACGGGCACAAGTGGAATGGATGAAAGACAACGCTGTCGTTGTCTTCTTTCAGGGTAACTTCAAGTCAGTCTCGGCGGACAGGAAAGAGCAATGTATCAGAAATTTTGAGGACTCGATACTGCCGCAGAACATGCACCACAAAGAAAGAGGTAGAGTCCACCAGGAAGGTAGGAACGTCATGTCAAACTTTCCCAGAGACAAAAAGCTCATTGAACTGATGTTGAGCATGAAGAACCACAAAATCAAGGTGGACGGTACCACGTATAAACTAACCTTTAAAAAATGGATGTCTCCTGTGGAGCTGGAAGAGGCAAAGAATGCAGAAGAGATTAGTAATATTTGGATCATGGCTCTGAGACTCCCATGGCTAGCAGCTCCCTTTGTCCGATCCCAAATCGAATTTGCGGTGGGGAAAATTGTGAAGCAATATCCCCCTGAAAGATACGAAGAATCCCCGAAGTTAAACAACTTGAAGTTTGACATTCCTAGGGACCAAAAACACAAGGTCCCAGAATATCTTGATTGGCCGCAGAGCAACGGGTCAGTCATCAGGATCCAAGTGGTCACCCAGATGACGGACTGATGTTCGTTATGCAGAGATTACAGGCACGCCACTGAGATATGTCCACAGACAATCGAAATTAACACCAATCACCAGAGACATATCCAGGGAGGAGTACCGGGTGGTAACATGAGTGTCACGTCCGTGCGGGCGAGAGGACTGAGGGCAGGTGCGGGCTGGAATGCAATGCAGTCCCAGTCCCAGTACCTCCAATCTCCCTCCTCCCACTCGGGCGACGAATCTGGTAACGGGGCAAAGGGACAGGGGGGGGATCCAAGCAGGAGGACCTGCCCAAGCAGGCATCCCTCAGGCAGCGGGAGCCCACAAAGGCCCGATTTGGTTTCAAGCAGGAGGTTCAGCTGCAGCTGTTGGAACAGCTGCAGCTCACACTGGACTCCCGACCAAGGTTGTACAAACTCAGAATAGCAACTCAGGCAAGTCTGTCACAGCACCAAGTCTGAGTGGTCCCCAGATGTCGTACACAGTCAGATCCAAGATACCCCAGTCTTCTTCGCGGGCTGGGACAGAAAAAGATGATGGCCAACAGAAGGGCACAGGTGCTGAGAACCCTCAGGCCCCTTAGGGGGTCTCAACCGCAGACCTCAGGACAGGTCAGAGGAGCTCTCACCCCACAACTGTTGGTAACGAGAAAAATCTGACAAGTGGAGAGCCCGCGGTATTATCCCAAGCGGTTGTCTCTGCACGTAGGACAGTTGGGAAAGAGTCTGGAGCAGACACAAAGGTCACACAGGCTCCACTTAAAAAGGAAGTAACTCTGGACAGTAACAACATGCAGGTCGGACTCCCGGACAGCACACTCAGGAGTACAATTAGCAAACAGACCCCTCCCGCAAGGCAGGGGGATAGTCAGTCTGATCAGGGGAAGGGTCCGCATAGTCCAGAGTCAATAATCAACGAGAGTAAAATGAGTCAGTCCACAGACAGAGAGGGCCCCCTTGAAACAGGTGCAGCAGGAACGAACATTTCTTTCTCAGGGCCGGTGAACCACGAAGCTGCAACTTTGGCTGCGGCACCAGGGCCCGAGAGGGCGATAGGACCAGATGGGAAGCTAGGACCAGATGGGGGGACCACGTCAGACGGGTCGATTGCTAACAGTTCAGACCGAGGGGAGGTCCCATCAGACCCCCCTCTCCAAAAAGGCACAACAGATGTGGCAATGACGGAAGAGGAATCAGTCCGGGCAGCAGTGTCAGCAAAATGTCCAGATATAACAGGGGACTCTGATGGCTCTACGGATGAGGAAGGTCCCTCCAAAGAAAAAAGAGGAAGGACACTCTCCCCTGGGAAATCGAGGATGCCAAAGAAGGTTACCGCAACAGAAAAGAATTTGGGATCCAAGTATCCGGTTCCCCTAATCTGCTGAAAAACCCAGGATGGCATTCTCTTTCTAACTTACAGCATGGGAACAAACATCAAACGCATCACACCCAGTCCGGTAGACGGTAGTCCCACACAGTCAGTCATGTTGTCAAAGGTTAAAAATTACTTGGGCATGAATGCCCCTGTCAGATCAATCCCAGGTATGGGTACCAGGAAGATCGAACGTATGGGCAAGGATAATAACAAAGTCCAGCTTTTCGTGGCACCATTCGATGTCAGGCCCAGCGAGGCAGACCTGGCCCAAATGGCTCAGAACAAGGGACTATGGTGCCCCCTGAGCTGGGCCCAAGATGAGAATCTCATCCATGCGAACATGGTTTACACAGCGGAGGGAATTTCGGGCGATGTGCTGGTAGAATACAATCAACAGTTGTCCTCGGACACCAATCTGTTCTCAAGTTACTTTGACAGACTGTTGTCACTGCCATGGCAGGGAAAAGGAAATGGACCAGACACGGGGGAGGAAAGGAGGAAAACTACACTCGGGACCAGGAGCCCCTCCCCAGTGCCCCGGTCAGCATTGGTGGTGGGCACAGCAGAAGGAGAGACTATCTCTACCTTCCCGCCGGAAGATTTCTCCCTGATCCATAACACAGGGAACAAGGACGCTGATGAATAAGTTGAGGGTAGCCTCCTGGAATGTAAGGGGCTTAGGAGATTCAAATGACAAATTCAAATGGGCTAGAATGAAATCCTGGATTCACCTACACAAGGTCCAGGTAATGTTACTCCAGGAGACCAAACTCAACGAAGACAAAATTGAAGAAGATAGGTGGAAGTGGCAGGGTCCGCAGTTCTGGGCCCCGGCAGATGGCACGAAGATGGGCACTGGAATTTTTGTCCACAAGGACTTGCACTCAACGATAGTGGATGAGTTCTCAGACTCATCGGGCAGATGGTCATGGGCCACAATTCGGATAGAGGGCACGGAGTGGACCTTCATGTCGGTTTATGCCCCGGTAGACAGACGAGAGAAAATCCAGTTCTTTGAAGTCCTACCAAAGGTACTACCCAAAAACAGGAACATGGTCCTGGGTGGGGACTGGAACACGATCCTAGATCCGAACCTAGACTCTTCGGCAGTGGACCCCATCAGAAGTGACACCATGGCCCTCGGGGATTTTATCGAGTGCATGGAATTGATAGATCCCTTCAGGCAAATCCACCCCCTAAAAACAGCGTTCACATGGATCTCACTCACTCCAAGACAGGATAAGCCATACACTAGGCTAAGACTGGATTTCTTCCTAGTTAGGGACAAGGCGGCAGAGTGGGCTATGGAGGTTTCCATTCCCTTCGACTCCATGTCGGATCACAGACTGGTACTGGCCACATTCGTACCGGATGGTCACATAACTAGGGGAAAGGGTTACTATAGACTGAACACGGAAGTGCTCCAGGACAAGGGGTTGGTAACCTCTATTAAAGAATCCTTAGTCAAATTAAAGAACTCAAGTAGTTTTTTCGAATCAGATCAGGAATGGCTGGAAGCAGCCAACAGAATGGCCGCAATGGACCTCAGCTTTGCCTCAAGAGTCAAAGCGTCAACCAAGAGGCAAAAGGAGGAGCAATCTATTGCACAAGTAGAGTATGCGGAATCCAACATGGACATGATCCCTTAATTCAGCGGTTTCTGGTTGTCCTACAGAAATTTTTGGAAAGACAAGCTAGAAAATATTCAAATTGAAAAGGAAAAAGTTTGGGCAGAAAGGGCAAAGATTAAATGGCTCGATGTGGGGGATAGAATGAGCAAGGACAACTTCAAACGTTTATCAGGACGTAAGGGGTCTTCCCTAATCATTGAGCTTGATCACCCTTTCGATGCGTTTGAGCCCAGAGCCAGGGATACCAAATCCATCTTGGAGTATGCTAGACTGTACTATTTGGATATACTAACATCTTCACGTCTGCCCTGCCCGGATCCAGGGGACGAAGTTCTACAAAGGTCCCTTTAGGAGGCATTTGAGGCCCGTCTCCCGGCCCAGGGTAGGCTTAATCTGGATCGTCCGATCACCATGGAGGAACTGGAACAAACAATGAAAACGATGCAGAAGGGTAAATGCCCGGGCAGTGACAGGCTACCGGTAGAATATTACGGTTCTTTCTGGGAGATCCTTGGCCCGGTTTTGGTGTACATTTTCAATAATGTTCTGCAGGGCCAAGGATTGGGGGAGGACATGAGATTGAGAGTTATATCACTGCTATATAAAAAAGGAGACAAAAGAAACATAAGAAATTGGAGGCCGATTTCTTTACTCAACACATCCTATAAGCTGCTGGCCAAGACCCTAGCTAATAGACTCAAGCGTTACCTGCCGGGTTTGGTGGGCGAGGAACAAGCCGGGTTTGTCCAGGGTAGAAACATCCTAAACAACATTATGTTAACAATAGAGGCATTAGAATATATGAAAGATGACCAGCCTGAGGTAGTGGCTCTTCTCTTAGATCTAGAGAAGGCATACGACAGGGTCAACTGGCAATTTGTGTTGGACACACTACGGACAGCCGAATTTGGAAACTCATTTTGCGCATGGGTCAAAGCACTGTATATGCAAGGGATAGGTATGGTCATGGTGAACGGTGAGATCTCTAGCCCATTCCCGTTGTCCCGGTCATTGAGACAGGGATGCCCCCTTGCCCCCATGCTGTTTGTGATTCAGATGGAGGTTTTGTTATCTTTGATTAGGAAAAACCCAGATATACAAGGACTGAGACTGCCCAACGGACAACAGTGTAAGGTGGCAGCAATGGCCGACGACCTTTTTGCACTGTCATCTAATTCTAGAGAATCCTTGGGAGCCCTCAAATGCTGTCTTGACTTGTACTCTAAATTTTCTGAAGCCCTTGTCAATTGGTCAAAGTCCACTGTAATCACTAATGAGGATGCTAGGCTGGCTGTGGATTGGGGGTTGAAAAGCTTACCTGTTGGGGATTGTGAGCGTTTCCTGGGAATACAGGTGAGCATGCTGGACAACAAGAAGACGACGAGTAACCTAGTGGAGCGTGCGGTAATTTCAAAAATTGGCAAGGTATCAGCAATCAAGGGCACCTCTATTTTTGGTCGTTCCTTATTCCTGAATACCTCGGTGTATTCACAAGTTTGGTATCCAGGTTCAATAAGGCCGTTGGAAGGCAAAACCTATGGCAAAATCAGGTCTCTCTGTACCAAATACCTGTGGAAGGGTACAGTTGAAGAAGGGGTGGGCTTTATTGCTAAATTAGCCTGGAAAAAGGTAGTGGGTAGGAAATCAGATGGGGGACTGGGAATCAAAGATCCGGAAATGCAGGTCAACGCCTTGCTAGCCAGATGGGTGATCAAGCTTCTTATTGAGGAAAAGTTGGCATTCTCATGAGGGAGTGGGCTCTTTGTCGGAGAGAAAACGTTTGGCTAGCTCTACTCACATCGTCCTTTATCAAAGGGCCAATCAAAGCTGTAACTTGGAAAGATATTATCCGTGCGTGGTCTCAGATGACGCCGGTACAGCTTAAAGAACCACAGACTAGGGAGGAAATACTGGCCCAACACATTTTTGAAAACACTTTCATATGTGACGAGTTGGGGGTCCCGTGGTCTGCAGAAGAAAGGCCTGGACAATTTGGAAGAAGCTGGATCCAGAGAGGGGTCTCTTGGATCTCGGATCTCTGGAATCAGGAGCTCCTTCACTGGAGATCGG